GTCGTGGGGCTTGAACTCTGGGCCTGGGCACTGTCCCTCAGCTCTTCAGCTCAAGGCTAGTGCTCTACCACTTGAGGCACAGCACCACTTCCAGCTTTTTCTGCTTATGTGGTGCTAGAGGAATAGAACCCATGGCCTAATGCATGCGAGGCAAGCACTCTACCACTGAGCCACCTTCTCAGCCCCTCAATGCTATGTATTTTTAAATTGAAAACAAAAGTTTAAAAGTGTTTGTTTTTTGTCAAACACTTGTAAACAATTCATTCCACCAGTGCTACTCAATTCCTGATACTGAAGTTGAAGGAGAATAGGGCCTCTTCCTATTCTCTATTTTTCAGGGATGGAATTTGATCCATTGTAATTCTATTCCTAACTTGAAGTGGCTTTTGTGACAAAGACATCGTAGAAGAGTCATTTTGAATTTTGGACTTAAGATTATGTAGTTCATTTTATAGTTGAATATATTTTGAGCACATGTTGGGTTATCAGTAAATATTTGTAGTGTAAACCATATCGTATTTCACAGTAAATTTATTACTGTGGTGACTGGTAGGATTTTGTAATTAGCATTTTGGAAAATAGCACTGTAGTGTTTTCTCAGTATGTGGAGGGAGGGAAGTGATCGTGGTCACCAAAGGCCGATTTGTATTATTTTGATTCAACTAACTTCCATCTCTGTTATAGCTATTATATCTAGAAACTTCGCTTTGTTTTGCATTGTGGTAAAAAATGATGTTGACCATGTACCTTGTTTATGTTTTCAGTTCAGTAGTGTTAAGTGGGCTCACATCATTATGAAGCAGGTGTTTAGAAGTTTGAAACCATGCCATTGAATACTCTCTACCTTTTTGCCCTTCCTCTAGCCCCTGACAACCATCTATGTGTTTTCAGTTTTGGTGAGTTTGGCTTATTTAGATTCCATGCATGAGTGGAATCACACTGTGTCTGCTATGCGCTGGTGGCTCAAGCCTGTATTCCTAGCTAGGCAAGAGGCTGAGATTGAAGGATTATGGTTCAAAGCCAGCCTGGGCAGGAAAGTCGTGAGACTCATATCCAATTAACTTCTTCCAAAAGTCAGAAGTGGAGTGTGGTCCAAGTGGTAAATCACCAATCTTGAGTGAAAAAGATAAGCAAGAATGTGAGGCCCTAAGTTCAAGTCTCAGTATTGGTGTGTGTGCATACACACACAATATTAGCTGGGTTTTGTAATGTGGGGGCCATTGATGATCTTAGCAAGAACTGTAGTGGTGGATCTCAAGGGAGGAGCCAGATGCAGTGAGTAGAATATGTGCGGAGGGAGGTGGAGTAAAATACATCTTTTTTTGGGGGGGGGTCAGTTGTGGGGACTGAGCTCAGGGCAAGCTTGAACTCAGGGTGTCATCCCTTAGCTCTTTTGCTCAAAGCTAGCATTCTACCACTTTGAGCCACTGCACCTCTCCCTAGTTTTTGAATGGTTAATTGGAGATCTCACTGGGATTTTTCTGCCCAGGCTGGCTTTGAACTGTGATCGTCAAATCTCTAGGATTACAGGTATGAGCCACTATGCTCAGCTAACATTTTTCTTTTAATGAAGAACTTTGAGCAAACGTAAAAGCTGATGGGAAGGACACCACGAGAGATTGGTAGTGTAAGTCTTCAGGTGGTGGGTGGAGAGTGATGTGAAAGTGGTGGACTTGCTGTTTGGTAACTTCCTTGGTGTAAGAGAAAGAGAAAGAAAGCTACTGTTCCATGCTAAGCTGGGTTTTCAGTGAGTTTACATGGGAATTTATTTTTTTGAAAAATCTGTTTTCTCTTAAAACTAGTATTAGGCATCTGTTGAGAAAGGAAGGGAAATTGCAGTTTTGAGGAAAAATAATCCTGGTCCACCATTGTCCATATGGGGAGAGTGTCTGCTGAGCTTTTAATAAGAGTGGCAGTAGGTGACGTTGGACATCAGGTACTTGGATTTACAAACATGACAGACAAAAACCAAACCAAAACAATCATTTTACTGTGTAGTTTTAGGGAATACTGAGTACCTAAAAAGTATAGTGTATTGTAAATAAGGCCATTCTTACATCCAAGGTGTTTATAAAATTAGGTGCAGTGAGAGATGGAAACCATACTTGAGAGGAGCTGTCTGACTGTTAGATAGCTGTTTGGGTATGGGAGAGGTTTCCATAAGCATATGAAAGGGAATGTACTAATGAGATCGATGGTCAGTAGCCACCTTGTCCTCAGTTATCCTTGAGTTAGATGTGTTTCTGTGCAGTATGAGGCATATCAGAGAAGTTATGACTTTAGAAAACTACATGACCTCCTTACAAAGGAGCTTACATGCATGCCTGTTTTAGGATAGTTTCTGAGCAGTTATCAACCAGTATGTAATAAGTGGTTTCTGGCATTGTCATTTCCCAGTATGAGTGTGATGAATTCACTGAGCTCATTAAATGTACATGTCATTGTTGTGATTCATTCAAGCTTTTTGTCTTTTCTTTAGCAGAAAATTAAAAAAAATTCCAAATTTGAATCCAGGACTTGAAAAAATGCCAGTTGTCTAAATACAGTACCATAGTGTGATAAATATAGCTATTGAAAAATTTAAAAATCTATTCACAAAACTTTATTTTAATATTCATAGCAGAACTTTTTTGGAATGTTATCTGAAAAACAAGACCATTTTATCATCAGAGCTGACTATTAATTAGGGTATTGTTTCAGATATAAAAGTTGATCTGCCACTGAAATTCTATTTGAATATGTATAGACCCAAGCTTGCTTTGTGTATTTAATAACTTTAGTACCATAATTACTCTTGTTTACAATTAAATTTTGGTGAATATGCTAATACAGATTATAGTAGTGAGTAATTCCAGCAAAGGGCAGTATTGATCTGCATCTTGATGTACTTCTCAGTTCCATCTGCATTTCATTTAGTATCACAGGGAAAAGAAGTGATCAGGTTATGTAGTGGGTTATGTGATGATCAGTGATCTTTGTGTTTGAAACTTCTCTGGTGCATTGGCTATTGGAGTATATTTGAGCCACCTGGGCCAAAGTTATATGCAGGAAGATTTTATTTGGTTACATGTTGTACTCTCCAGTGTATTCTTTAATAGAAACCCTTGTGCAGGGATTGGTGGCATTATTAGAAGAAACCTATAATATACTAAAGCAATTGTTAATTCAAATTAGTATTTTAAGTTCTTTAGAACACTCACTAGCTTATTAAGTCAAATACTTGTGGTTATGTTACTGTTGCAGCCATGGACTTCTGGTTTTGAATAGTTCCCCTTTTCAGAAACTGCCTGAAAAGCAACAAGATTGAGAAACAGTTTCAAATTCTGGAAAAGTAGATTTCTTATAACCCTTACCCAGAAAACAAGTTGCCTCCAGTGCAGATGTATCCTGAGACCAGAGTATCATGCTATCATGTTAAAAGTTAAAATACTCAGGTATTGACACTTCTCAAAGTTGGCAAAATGATGTTCTCCCAAGTTCACCTCCTGAGGGCCACACCAGTAGCCTTAGTTTAGGAAAATGGGAGTGAAATGAGAGTAAAGGGTCTTAGGTGTCATGAAGAAGTTTTATATGTTGTGGGGCAAGTGTGTATGGTATGTAAACGAATTCATACATGGTTACCATACTGGCATGTAATTACTAGTTTATTGCTTCTCAGCTCTGAACTTAACCTTTCTTTGCTCTGTTATACTTGAACTAAACCTTGTAAACCTTGTACTTTTTTGCCTTTCTGGAATAATGTTAGGTTCTGTCAGTAGAAGGTGAGGAATAAATATATCATTGAGGAAGTAACCTCTCCTGCCATTATAGTGTCTTTTTCTTTTTTAATATATTTGTTTTTTTTTTTTATCTCAAGGTTTGACTGCAGTCAAACTGCTGGCTATACCGTACTCACTCTCTTGTGAGTTTCATCAGCATTGTAAAAGGCAGATTCTTCAACCAATATTGCAGTGGGCAGATAGCAGTGGTCCAGCTCCACTGGCCTAGACTCCAAGGAACTTATTGGTGTCCAGTGGACTGTCACCACAGCTTGTCCAGCAAAGTGTTCCTCTTTTGGTACTCTCCCTCAGCCTCAAAGATAGCGGCTGCTCCTAATATTTGCTAGTCTCATATTCCTTAGAGTTGTCTTTTACCCCTTTGAGTCGTTGACCACTTAGAAATTAATTTTTATAATTCTCCTGTTTAAAGTCTTTGTATATATATATATTTTGTAACCCAAATGAATCTTGTTCAACACAGGACTTGTGTGATTTACTGTGTTAATTTTACATAAAATAGAAGGAAATAAATCATAAGCAGACAACTTGGTTTTAACAGAGTGAATGCTCAGTTTAAGTATCACCAGGATGGGGATGTAGAATACTGCCTGATTCCCAGGGACATGCCTGTTGGCCCCTGCACCTTCTTCCAGCTCTCGGCATTTCTGCCCCAGATGCTGGCTGCATTTGACTTTATCACCATTGATCAGTTCTGATCCCTTTGGGGAATGTTAATTATAGGAGCAGTAATGTTTTTAGTGTTTAAATATGACACAATACAGAAAAATGTTTAAACACTTAATGATTGCATTTTTCTCTCATGAAAGTGATGCTTATGGTGGGTGTTTTCTTTCTCATCTCTTGCCAGGACTTTGCAGCACAACTCACCTGCTTTCCCAAGTCATTTATAGCCTTGTGGTGGTAACCACTTTCCTGTGGTTTAGAGTTGCCTGCTTTTGTTCTGTTTTGTTCTGTATTTAAGGATTTTTTGTTTCTCCTGAGATAAGTGTTTGACTATGTAACCTAGGCTAGCCTTGAACTCCTGGTCTCCTGTATCAGCCTTCTGAGTGCTTGGATTGCAGGCATGTACCACTGTGTCCGGTTAACAATACAGCTTGCTTGCTTGCTTTTCTTCTCTCCCACCCACCCCTTCTTTTTTTCCTTCCTTCCTTTCTCTTTCTTTCTTTTTCTCTGTCTCCTTTCTTCCTTCTCTTCTCTTCTTTTCCTTTTCTTTTTTTCCTCTCTCTTTTTTCTTTCTTTCTTGTGCTGGTACTGGGGTTTGATCTCAGGACCTGGGAGCTATCCCTGAATTTTTTATTTATTTTTGCTGAAGGCTAGCACTCTACCACTTGAGCTACAGCTCCATTTCTGGCTTTTTGGTGGCTAATTGGAGATAAGGAGTCTCATAGACTGTCCTGCCCAGGCTGGCTTCAAACCCTGATCTTCAGATCTCAGCCTCTTGAGTAGGCATTAGTTCCCCAGCTGAATACAGGATTTTTTTTTTGGGGTCCGGTCATGGGGCCTGAACTCTGGGCCTGGGTGCTGTCCCTCAGCTCTTCAGCTCAAGGCTAGTGCTCTACCACTTGAGCCACAGCACCACTTCCGCCTTTTTTTTTCTTTTTGCTTATTTGGTGCTGAGGAATCGAACCTAGGGCCTCATTCATGCAAGGCAAGTGTTCTACCACTGAGCCACCTTCCCAGCCCCTGAATACAGGATTTTTAACTGGACCAATCCTTTCTCTTATTTCTCCCTCCTATCATCCATTTGAATTGTGATTTTTGAATACACAGGAGATAAATAGAATAAGAATGTCAGCTGATGATGGCAGTCCTTCCTTGCCCACACAGAATCATTCTGAGATAACCAGGAACAGACAGATGAATCCTGTATATACTGTGCACAGGCACCAATAATGAGGTCTAATCCATAAACTAGGCATCATAAGAGATAATGATCTAAAATAGTTACAACAGTATACTGTGGTAAGTTACGTTGATGTGTTACTTCTGTCTCAAAGTATCTTCCTGTACTGTACTTTCTTTCTTGTGTTGATAAGAGATGGTAAGTGTTTCCCTAGTGAGAGGAAGTGAGGCCAGTCACTGAGGTATGGTGGCGTTGTTAGGCTGCTATTGAATTTCTTCCTTGAACACAAGCATTGTGATTTGACATTCAGTCTGGTAGCCAAGATGGCTGCTGTCACCAGTGGGTGGGTAGCTTATATAGCATGTATGTACTGGGCAAAGGGATGAATCTTGTCTAGGATGGAGCTGAGTGAAACAACTCAAGATTTCATCATGTTGTCCACAGAGGCTTTCAGTTTTAAACTTATGATTTATTTCTAGAATTTCCCACTAAGTGTTTTGGGGCCTCGTTTGATTTTGGCTAACTAAAGATCATGACTTGCATTATTGCCATTATTTGCATTATTCCATATTTATGCACATAGTACCCAAGTTAACACAGCATGTACCGCCACAGTCTGAGTCCTGGAGTTGCTTTTGGGACAAATGTTCTCCCAGTTTTTGTTTTTTTTTTTGTTTGTGTGTTTGTGTGTGTGTTTTCTGAGTGAAATATAAACTCCAGGAGGACATTTTGTTTCTTTAGCTTGGTGCTTTATCCTTGTGTTCTAGAACAGTTTGTTTCACAGTATGCTGTCCATATATACTTGTTGATCAAATGATAAATGGTGACAGTATATATCATAGTAATAAATAATTCTGTGGGAATCAATGCTATTTTTTTTGTTGTTGTTGTTGGTCGTGGGGCTTGAACTCTGTGCCTGAGCGCTGTCTCTCAGCTCTTCAGCTCAAGGCTAGTGCTCTACCACTTGAGCTACAGTGCCACTTCCGGTTTTCTGGTGGTTTATTGGAGATGAGAGTTTCACGGACTTTCCTGCCCCGGCTGGCTTTGACCCTCGGTCCTCAGATCTCAGCCTCCTGAGTAGCTAGGATTACAGGCGTGAGCCACTGGCTCCCAGCTCTCCCAGTTTTTATAGTTGTTCTGTGTTCATATTGCCAGAACAAGGGCTTTATGAATACTCTCCTTTGTAAATCTTTTCCAGTCTCAGGTCTACAAGCAAGTGTGTGTGTTTACTTTGCAGGGGCACTGATGCCTCCTTAGTATCCCTGCTTGTTCTCTAGTAGGGTCTTACTCTTTCTACGTCCACAATACATAACTTGAGTTTTGTTATATGGAGATTGCCTTTTCTTATTCTTTGTTTGCTTTTGGAATATGGTTATCTTTTTGACTCCCTCCTTTTTATTTTGGTGGTGGTTGGGTTTGAACTCAGGTCCTTGGGCTTTCCAGGCAAATGCTTTACCACTTGAGCCATGTCCCCAGCCCTTTTCTTGCTTTAATTTTTCAGATAGTGTCTCTTGTTTTTGTCTCTGGAGGGCTCCAAATTGAGGTCCTGATTAGCTATGTCTCCAAGTGTGCAAACATTCAAGCTCAGCTTTGTTGAGATAGAGTCTTGCTAACTTTTTCTTTTTTTGCTAAGGCTGGCATCAAACTTTGATTTTTCCCAGTCTTTGCCTCTGTGTAGCTGGGATTTTGAGAGATGGTCTTGCTCTGGTAGCCCATGGCAGCCAGGAGCTCATGATTATCCTGTTGTAGACTCTAGGCTGGGATTACAGACTTGTACCACCACACCTGGCTTCTTTTTTTTTATTTGCAATGACTTTTCATTTAAAAGTTTTTGTGCATATCACTTCTTATTTATTTATTTGTACTGGGGCTCCAACCCAGGCATTAAGTATAGCACGACAAATGAACATGTGCTCTTGCCACTAAGCCACAATCTAAATCCTTTTTGTTGTTTTTGATTATTTTCTATCACTTAATTTATGAGTTTTTATAAATTCTGATTCTTTTTTTATCTTTATATGTGAAGTTTTGCCTTATTTTTTAAATATTTACAACTTAACTTTTCAGAGGAAATGTTTTTCTGAAGACACCCCCCCCCCCATAATAATCATCTGATAGTTTGTGGGATAAGGCTGTGGTTACTTTCAGTTCCTGTGATTCACACGCAACTGTTATCCAGTATGTAGGCTTATTTTTAGATGGCATTGTTCAGGTTGACTTTATATCATTGCCTGTTATTCGCTCTTCATGTGGTTTTGTGTTGTGTTCCAAAATCTGGAGGTTAACTCACAGATTCACTTCCATTTGTGTTGTCCTTAGGATCCTCACTTTGGGTGCTATCCCTCACAGGTTGTGTTAGACTGAGGTTTTGACCCCTGTTTAAAGTCACACAACACATGCATGTGTGTACTCACGCTACTCCTTTGCAGAGTAGAGTGAGTTGACCTGAGGGTACTTGAAGCTTAGAAGTGACTTGAAGTAACTTGATCAGGATTTCCCAGCGAACCAGTAACATATTTGGGATATGTTTTTTGATTCCAGTCCAGGCTTTTTTTTTTTTTTTTTGCCCCCAGTAAGCATTGCTTTTCCAGAATGTTATGGTATACTTAAGCTTGTGAGAAAGTGGGTTGAGATGCATCTCTTGTTGAATTCATAGTGGGAAATGAGCATAGGAATACTCATTAGGAATGTCACCAGCTCTGCCTTTTCTGTGGATCTGAACAGTCACAGGTTCTCCTCATCATTCCTGGAAGGTAACATCCATGCATGTGTGGATGGTAATGCAATCTTCACACAGTCCTGGGGCTGACCGGGTGCTGCTCTCCTGCCCTTAATGCCCTGTCCTCTCTGCATTCCTCTGAGTGTGTCTGTGGGCTTTGTACCGTGTACTGAGCAGTAGAGGGCTGAACTTGGTGAGGGCCTCGCTGCAGCACTGAGGAGTGTGTTCTCATGCACACACTTTGCTCCTGACCTCACACGATTTTTTTTTTAATAGCCCTTCAGCCATAGATGATATGCCACTGGAACGTAAAACTAAATAATATCTGGAAAGCAATTGCCGAGATTGTCTTACTTTTGCAAAACCAAGAGATAATCAAATAATACTTGAGCCATTATAAATCAGAATTGGCTAGTACCCCTCATGTAAGTTTTGGGATAAGTAGGAATTTGAACACACACATTAGTTTTACTTAAGGAAATTGGTTGGAAGACTTACGGGATGATAACTTCGAGTATTGCTTTGTTTTGTATCATAGTGAAAATGCCTCGTGCAAAAGCAGCTCAGGCTGGAAGACAGGGCCCTGCGAAGAGACGCCTTGCAGAACAGTTTGCAGCTGGGGAGATAGTGACGGACATGTCAAAAAAGGAGTGGAAACTGGGACTGCCTGTTGGCCAAGGCGGCTTTGGCTGTATATATCTTGGTGAGTTTCTGACTGCTTCTGTCATTATCATTATTACTCCAAAGGCTTTCATGCTTTCTTAGCAAGAATGATTCCTTCTTTGTTAGCTGTTTTGTTTCTCATGACCTACAGTCACCTAATGTATATGGTTGCATAAAAATTCATCTGACATGGAGGAGTAGAGAAATGTTCATTTAATTATAATGGAGAAAGATTGAATTACATGTAATATTGTCACTGCTGAGTACTACAACTATAGATTTTTAATGTTTTTATAACCTTAATGTCTTTTGAGATGCAGTAGAAGATGCGCACATCTTTTCTTCTCTACTTCCACCCAATTAGAATACACTTTGTCTGTTTTTGACTAATAGATCTTCTATAGATGTAGATTTCCTTTTTCTATGCTGGATTTAGGAGAATGGCCTAGAAACTGCATTCTAGGCCAGCCAAATGCACCATTCATTAGCATACTTACCTCGAAATTTTTGGAGACCCGTGTAGAGCCGTGAAATCAGAAAGCTAACTAAATTGTTGATTTTAAAAGTACTTTGCCTGATTGCTTCTTAAAGCTGCCTGCTTCTCCCAGAGAATCAGTGCCTGCTTCTCTAAGAGAGTCAGTGAGGATGCAGTGCAATTGGCATTTACTTTCCTTCTAACTTTTCTACTTTCTGTTCTTATTCCACTTCTCATCTCGATTTAATTAGTAAACTGTTCAGTTTCTCTCATGGAAGTTTATATAGCATTTTATTTTTAGCACTGAGTGGAACTTTTTTTGTTCAGGGAGTAATCTTAACTCAGAATACTAAGACTGTAGTATAGATTAGTGCTACCTGGCAGTTTGTTAGACCCGCACATTCCTAGACCCCATCTCAAACCTGGACTTCCAAAACTTACCAGTGGCACTCACCTGCTCTTCTGGCTATATAGGAAGTTGAGATCGGGAGGATTGAGTTCCATGACAGCAGAGGCAAGAAGTTCAGGAGGTTCTCATCGCAACAGAAAAGGCTAGGTGTGATGGCACATACCTGTCATGCCAGCTTTGGTGGGAAACATGAATAGGATCTTGTCCCGGTGAGTCCTGGCACAGAATGAGAGCCTATCTAAAAAGTAACCAGAGAAAAGGGTTGGAAGCATGGCTGAAGTGGTAGAGTGTGCCTGCCTAGCAAACACAAAGTCCTGAGTTCAAACCCTAGTACTGACTGATCAAAACAAATGGACGCCTTAGGAAGAGGCCCATCAGTGTGATTGACAAAGCCCTTCAGGTGAGCCTGGTACATGTTCAGGTTTGAGAACCATTAGCTGAAAAAGCAGCTGCTTTTCCTCAAGGGGTCTCACTGTACCTCATCATCTGTGAGGTACAATTTGTCTGCTGCTCTCTTTGGGCTTGTCTTCATGAAGAATAGCTTAAAACACAGGGCTTTGCTTCTATGTTTTTGTCACTTGCCTTTGTGGGAACTAGGTGTTGATGCTCTCTGTGGTTTGGAGCCAGACCAATGAGCTAGGCTGTCACTCCAGGAGAAAATCCTCAAATTGTCAAAGAGTAGTAGCTGTACTAGATGTGTATATTTTTGATTGTTGCCTCTTTTGTGGAATGTTTGAATTTGTGACATATTAGTGGGCACTTTGTATCTAAGTAACACAACTTAATTTGCTTTTGTAGCCTTCCTCAAATTGGAACTTACCATGTAAGTGTGGTGTTCTGAATTTTTTACTAAGAAGTGTCATCTGATAGTGTTTTACTAAGAAGTGTCTGCTGATAGTGTTTTTAGTATCCTGTGGTTTGATAGTTGTTCATTAACAACTTTGCAAATTCTTCTGTAAACTTGGATTGTTTAGCCCAGAGAAGAAGAGATTTGCTTAGGTCTTGCTGCCCACACTTTCTCTGTCCACAGGTATTCAAACGGCCATTTTCAAAATCACCAGCAACTTCTGTTAGCGAACTAAAATTTTACTTTGACTTTATTGTCGAGCGTTTGATACTCAGTATCTTTCTTTCTCATAGAAATTGCTTCCATTATCTTACTTTCCATGATTAACCTTTCCTCCCCCATGCTTTTCTTCTCTGGCTGCACTTAGTCTTCTTTGTAGGTTACCTCTGTATTCTTCAACTTTCCTTCCTTGGCCTGCTTTTTCTTCCTGATATTTTTTCTTAGTGATCTCACTGATTTTCACAGCTTTCTGTCACTCTTTGTATTGTTGACTTCCATTATCTTTTGTCTGCAATGAAGACTTGATCTCTTCCATCCTTGTCCAGGGCTTCCAGCAGATCTCTTCTTGGATGTCTTTAGGCATTTTCTTTTTCATTTTGTGATCCTTTCATGATTAGAAGATTATCTATGTGAGTGATACTTGTTAAGCTAGAAAATAGGAAATTGTTTCTGAAAATTCTTTAATGGTCCCAGCACCTCATGTAGTCCTATTGCTTTCACTGATGTCTCAAATCCATCCATTTCTCTCCTACCACTACCCTGGGTAAGGGTAGTCTTACGATGTCTTGTCTGGGCTTGCATTGTATCAGTCAATCTTCTTTGCCCAGTTTCTGCCCTTTGGGATCTCCCTGGTCATCGTGTGGGCCTAAGTGATCTAGCATGCTAATGAGACCATCCTATTTACCCATCCAGTGGTTCCTCAGTTCCTCAAAAGTCAATTAAGAATGATGTATACAACTCTTCATATGTAAGTTCAATTTTCTTTTTTGCAGCCATTATGCTGTCCCTTTGCCTTGATCTGTGTATAGGCTGCTGTTCCTTTTTTATTTTTTTGATGGCACTAGGGTTCGAACTCGGCCTCATGCTTGCTAGGTTGGGCTATACTATTTGAGTTATGCCTCTAAATTATTACAGTTCTTAAAAATAGTTATTATTGCAAACTTCAGTGCCTATATTTCCCAAAGAAAATTGAGCTTGGCTGCTTCCAAGCACAAATACCTTTTAGAGTAATGTTCCTTTGAATGCAGGGCCCTGCTTTCTTAATGACCCAATTTTCTCTTTCTTATCACTTCAAAATGAACTTGAATATTTTTACGAAAGTGACCTTCTTCTTTGGTATTGTTAAAAGAATTAAAGCTTAGCATCAGAAATAATATTATTCATAATCTAATGTAAATAAAAATCATTCTTTGAACTTATTAGAGTTTATAGACTATGGAGTCTTTTATCCCTACGTTTTTGTTTTTGGTTGGTTGTGGGGCTTGAACTCATGGCCTGGGTGCTGTCTCTGAGCTCTTTTGCTCAAGACTAGAACTCTTACTACTTGGAGCCACAGCTCTACTTCTGGTTTTCTGGTGGTTAATTGGAAATAAGAGTCTTAGGGACTTGACTGCCTGGGCAGGCTATGAACTGCTATCCTCAGCTCTCAACCTCCTGAGTAGCTAGGATTATAGGTGTGAATCACCAGCAACTGGCCCTGCTATTTTCTGTTTTCAGGATTTAATGTATTTGTACAATATGATTCAGTTTTTTCAGCTTGGGAGAAATAAAGTTAAAAACTAATAAATTTTGTGTCCTCAAGTAATGGGCACAGTAATAAAAAAAAAACCTCAGTGATATCCTTTGTTTAAACAATGTATGCAACATAATTAAGACATTTTATGTTATTTTTATGTCTTGAAAACGCTATTGTTCTACTTGAGATATAATTTCCATATAGATCACTCTCTATATAGTTCAGTGACTTTAGGCATAAGTAAACATCTGTGACCCTGTTACCATAATGCACCTAGTAAACATACTGTTACGACTAAAAAGTATCCTCTTGTTTTTTTTTGGTTGGTCATGGGGCCTGAACTCTGGTCCTGGACACTGTCTCTGAGCTGTTCAGCTCAAGGTGAGTCCCCAGCTTTCTCCTGCCCCCCCCCCCCCAACACACACACTTTTTTCCTTTCCCCAAACCAAGTTTAGGGCAGATACTATATTCCCTTCGTGTTTACTTTCTCTGATACTTTCCATACTGCACTGAAATTACTTTTCTTACTTTTATATTAAATGTGTTTTTTGACAATGGGACAACTCTTCTTGTTTTCTTTGTGGCTAGCATATTTTGCAGTAAATACTGTTTGAATGAATTATTGAGCTTCCTTTCCCTCCTCCTGTTCTCATTTAAGCATGCAGTATTACTGGAATGCTATCTTCATTTTAGTATTTTGTTAAAAAAACTCAACAGTCCTTGGGACTGTTTCTCTCTTTCCCAAATTAGCCATTTTTATGGGAGACCTTTCTTCTTTAGTCTGAAGTACTTTAACTGCAGCCCTTCCAGACTCTGGTGCTTCCTAGCTGATTGGTAGGCAATATCTTATCTTGGTGTCCATTGCTGCCCTTCTACTTCTGTGGGAGAGTGCTTTGGGGCTTTGTTCTTCTTTTCTTTGTCTGCCTTTATTCTCCAAGGATTTCTCTCACTCTTGAGGCTTTAAATATGTAAGCTTTTTAGATTTTATTTTTTGGCAGTTTCGGGGATTGAACCAAGTATCTTGCATGTGAAAAGTATGCACTCCCAACTGCTGAGTTATATTTCCAGCTCTCAAAAATAGCTTCCTTCCCTCCCTCTCCCCTCATTTCCTTCCTACTTTTCTTTCTTCTCCTTTGTTGCTGTACCGGGTATTGAACTCAGGAACTCCTTAAGCAAATGCTCTACCATTTGAACTATGCCCCTAGTCCAATAAATAGCTTTCTGTGTAGACAACTTTCTCTCTCTCTCTCTCCTTCTCTCTCTCTCGCTCTGTGTATATATATGGTTATTTTCACATACATGTAAATATGTGTATACATACATGTACATAGATACACATATACACACATTCCTTTCCCCTTCCTCCCTCACTCTCTGATTGTTATCAGCGTTCACTGAGCTTCCTTGTGTCATCATCATATGCATTTCAAACTTCAGATACTCTCAAACTGGATCCGCATACAGTTCTCCTGTCAGTAGCAGCTTCCTCTTTCAAGTTGCATAGGAGCCATCCATACCTCATCAAGGTGAAATTCTCACACTCTGTTGACTCCATCAAAAAATTCTGTCGTCTGTCCTTTTGAGGGTCTGACTGATTCATAATCTTTTTTTTTTTGTTGTCCGTGGGACTTGAACTCTGGGCCTAGGCACTGTTCCTGAGCTCTTCAGCTTAAGACGAGCACTCTACCACTTGAGCCACAGCGCCACTTTCCATCATCTGACTAGCACTTCTTGTCTGCTTCCAGGTTGGCTTGGCTAAGCACCTTTGCTTACCTGGTGTAATGTTTACCTGCCTGCTCTGCTCTTGCCCCTCTGTGCCATTATCCTTAGGAAGTCTCCTAAAAGGTTTTGTTTTGGCCCTTCCCCTTCTTAAAACCTTCTGGTGGCTTCTCATCTCCTGTATAGAACCAGCCAGAATCATAGTATGTGTCACCTGGTGAGCCCCTCATGTCTCTTCTCATCTCACCTCTTCTCTTCCAGCGCCTTTGGCCTCCTGACTGAAGGCATTTCTAACCTGCCCCTACCTCAAAACCTGTGGTCTAGTCTGGTGAAATGCAATCTGAAGTATTGATCTTGATGAATTTTCCCCTACAATGGTATTTTTTGAGAACTTTGGCTCTAGATGTTCCTTTTTAGATTGTATAGTTTTCAAAATTTAAGAAATGATACTAGTCATCGTTTTTTTGGATTCACCATATGTATCTATCTATATCTGTCTATCATTCACTGTATCTCTCTCTCTCTCTCTCTATCTACATATTAAGGCCCATGAGTACTTTTGGGTTAAAGAAACATTTAACTTGTTCAACTTGGGGCTTTCTGTATATCACTGATGAACTAATGGGAAAAAACAGAACACAAGATGGCTTCCATCTTCAGTATTAAAGCACAAGAAAAGAATGAAAATTGATGAAATACACTGTAACAATATTCTGAAATGTATTTGGGAACTGGAATTTATAAAGGTATTACAGACATACAGGTGTAAATATGCATACAGTATTCATAATAATGTTATTCTGATGTTATGTACTTTTCTTCTTTAAACAGCTGATGCAAATTCTTCAAAATCAGTTGGCAGCGATGCACCCTGTGTTGTAAAAGTGGTAAGACAATATTTCAGCTTATTTTGTCTTTTTTTTTTTTAACAAAAGTTTATATAGTATTTATTTTGTAAATCATCCTTTGGTAACTAGACTTAATTAAGCCATAAGGTATTATTTTTTAATAATGTTTCATAAATGGTTAATGAGACATAAAAGTAGCTTTTATTTAGTTTTAGGTAACTAAATAAAAAAGTTCAAAAAGTCCCTGTGTTCTTTTGCCTTGGCGTGGCATTAAGGTTTGGGGCAAAGTCAGTGGAGTGTAGAGGAACTGAGCAGCTGTGGTTCCTGCCTGTTATCTTAGCTACTCAGGCGGTAGAGCGGGAGGATCAACCCATCCAGGGAAGAAAAGTCCACAAACAAGACTATCTCCAAATTATCTAGCAAAAAGCTAGGCTGGAGTGGTAGAATACCACTGAGCAAGCATGCTGAATAAGCATGAGATCCTGAGTTAAAAAAAAAAAAAGTGTCCAGGATGTAGATGTGGAATAAGACACCAACTGATCTTTTCTTCCAGCTGTGCAGTAGGTGAGATGAAGTATTGTATTATCCCTCAGTACTATGCTAATTTGGTGTAGTTTATTTTGCATTTGCTTCTGGACTTTCTGTTGGTCAATTTTCTGTTTATTCCCAGTTTTTTCCCTTTAGTATATTTAATTGCTTATTTGTCATTTAATTAGTTAGTTGTGATTGTTGAATTTACTATATTCAAGTTGAAATTAGCTCATGATGAGTAAAGATTAGCAGCACCCTATCTGTCATGAATGCACTTTCAATAGCCAGGCCCATTTATAGATCTACTAGTAGTGGACATTTTAATTAATTTTTTCATCCATTATCTATTTTTTTGCTTACTACCATTTGCATCTTTGATCTTAGTTCTTGGATACGTGTAAAGAACATGTTTGTTTTTTATTTTTCTATAAAAAATTAGAAGAGCCAACCGAATGTCTTATTTGGGGAAATTAACAAATTAAGTCCTGTTCTTCTTTTATCCTCACAGTTGACATAACTCAAGAATTATCTCATTGTTATGTTGTGGGCTCTTTTCAAACGCAAGTATGTTTGACCCCTACACACTAGCTTTCTTGATGTAGAATTGTTTTAGTGATTTATTTTTTTAAGCTTTTTATCTTTCTTTTTTTGCTAAGAGGCATATTTTTTACATGGACATACATAAAAACAGTTTGAAGACTTCTGACACATGCATATAACTGTTTAACCCTCACTAAGACACAGAACATTTCCATCACCCAAAAAGATTTTTTTGTGTCCTTTGCAGTAGAACTTCTGTTTTCCATTCGGGCTATTACAAATACAACTTCTATAAACTTTTTTTTTTTTTTTTTGTCAGTTGTGGGGCTTGAACTCTGGGCCTTGAACTCTTCAGCTCAAGGCAAGCTCTCTGCCACTTGAGCCACAGCGCCACTTCCAGTTTTCTGGTGGTTAATTGGAGATAAGAGTCACAGATTTTCCTGCCTGGGCTGGCCTTGAATCTCGATCCTCAGATCTCAGCCTCCTGAGTAGCTAGGATTACAGGTGTGAGCCACTGGTGCCCAGCTGTAAACATTCCTCTATAAGCATTTTTGTAGGTGTAGGTTTTTTTAATTTTAAGTAACTTATCTGGGAGTTTGAATTGTTGGTTTAGTGGCGAAAAATGAATTAAACTTATAGAAAGTACTGGAAAGATTTCCAAAGCAGTCCATTTTTCGTGTCCCCAAGAATAATGGAAGTTGTGATTGTCTGTTCTCTCCTCTGTTTTCTGGGTTAGTTTCTTTGTTTTCTACCACTTCAATGGGCATAGAACATTGTGGTATTATAGTTCCAGTCTGCATTTTTTTTTTTTTTTTGATGACCAGTTTGAGTACATCCTCATTGTACTAACTGGCTATTCATCTTTATTTGTATCTGTGAGGCACCTGCCTCTTTACTCTTTTGTCCAATCTCTTTGAAACAGTTTTTTTTAAAGTAACTGAATTGTTGCTTTTTATAATGTGTAATTAAGAGTTATTCTGAATACAAGTCCTTTTTCAGATATGTGTTGGTAATATATTCCTCCAGTTTATAGTTTTGTGTGTTTTGAATACTTTGAGTTCATCTTTTGAGCTGGACCAAGGTTTTATTTTTATTCTGTCACTTGGTAGTTAAATTGATATTTGAGTCAAATTTGCATTCCTAATACATAGACCTTGTAGTCAAATTGTATATGCTTTTAACCAATACTGAAATTGCTTTGCTAATATTTTGTGAAGGATTTTCATGGTTTTATTCATAAGGAGTGTTGGCTTTAGTCCTCCCCTCCCCCCTTAGTATTTCTATGTTTAGAATTTTTAAGCTGGTGGCTTAGTTTTGGTGTCAGGGTCATGTTGGTGGATGATTGGTCTTCTTTGTACCCTGTGTCTTCTCACTCTTCAAGCCTCTAGAAAAGCCAGGGCTTTTCAGGTCCTGAACTACCTGTTTTCTGATTTGTGAAATAGTACTTTCTTATTGTTTTCCTCCTTTGATATGTATTCAGAAGGTAATACATAGTGATCCAAGTTTAGTGTCCAGACTGTGTCTCCTGCCATTCTCCTTCCTTGATGTCCTATTGCTTTAGATTTCTTTTCACTGTGCAGTAGCCTTCTTTGAACTATTCAGCTTGCTGCTAAGGCAGAGGAACTAAAGTTCTTACTATAAAATTGTATTATTTGCATGGAATTTTAGAGAATATTTCCACATCTGATGTATACAACAAATTAAAATACTAAAATTTATAAAGGATAACACACTGAGGCAGTATTATTGACTTTCCCTTTGCTCCTTGCAAAGTTATTGTAATAGCTCTAATTGTACAGATCACATCTAATAGCCTCATGCCTCTAGGTTTTATCTTTTATCTCCAACTAGATGTGAAATTATCTAGTAATGACCTTATTTTAAACTTTGTTTTCCTTTTATAGTCCTTAAATGCCTATTTAGTTTCTTAAGTATTTTTCATCCATAATTTCCACTACCTTTTATTTCTCTTTGTGTTCATTTACTCTAATCTTCTTGATGCCCTTTTCATTCCTAGGACAGACCCCATTTTCCCTTCTGATAGCTTTATCATGTGCAAAGTTAAATGGATCATCAGTTACAACCATGGAAAATGAGTGTCACATCTTTCCAATATTAGAACTGTTTGTTGAACATTAAGGGCTATTGAAGGTTATGCTTCTGGTTTTCTTGTTTTAGTGGTACTGGGGATGAGCCTTGAGCCTCATGTCTGTTAAACAAGTGCTTTACTGTTGAGCTACACCCTGTACCCAAAGATCATAGTGTCAGAGAACATGTAGTACCTGCCCACTGGGATCCAAAGCCCTGTGTAAGGTATGAAGATTGTTTTTATAAAATGCCTACTGTATATGAAGAAAATATGTCGGATTGTTTACAGTTTTTCAAGAATGAGCATGTGTTTTTAGATTAAAAACCTGAAATGTACGTGAAACTGATTTGTTGGCATATGAAGCAGTGATTTGCAATCCTAGTTGTGCTGTAGAATCATAACCTCAGGGGTAGGACCTAGTTATTGGTATTTTAGTAACATTCACCAGGTGATTTCCTTTGAAGAAACTGGTGTTGAGGGCACGTTAGGTATTTTATATGGAGTTATGTCCATTCACTTTTTAATTCTTGTTCTAAGATCCTTTTCCTAGGGATTGCTTCTAGTATGAGCTTTTATTTTCATATGGAAGACTTGTCAAAGAATTGGGTTATTGCTGATATATCTGCTGTATGAAAATCTCTAAATGGTTAACCCATAAAATCTTCTGTTTGGCTTTGGCGTGAAGTTAAGACAGACATACTCAAGATGGGTGTTTAGGCACTTACTATGAATATTCTCCCCATACCCAGTGATAGTCTGTGTTTTGGGTCTTTAGTCCTGGCTCATGTAAGCAGCTGTGGAGCTGTGATGCTGGGTCATCCTGGTTCACTGTACTTAGCTTCTAGATAGTGGAGATACTGTGATTATTTATTCATTTTTAAGTGAGAAATTGGTAATAGTTAGATAATGCATGTGGAGTCTCTCTTGCCTCTGCCTCTCTCCTCTGGTCTCTATCTCTTTCTTGTCTCTGTCTCTGTCTTTTTATATCTATATCTATACCTATATTCCCCAGCTGCAATCACACTTTGTAGTCATGTCAGGAGCAGACCTGGAGATGGAGTTTGGGTTATTTTTGGCTTGTATAAACTAAGTGCCAACTGGTAGAAAATTGTATTCTAAAGCTCCTGGCAAAGAAGTTTGCTGACTGATGTTTAATTTTACCTGCTGATGTTATGAGAAGTGACCTGAATTTTCAATTCAGATATAATAAATTTTTTTGTAGGAAGGAGAAACTTTGTACATCTTCGTTTTTAAATGGCAGCCAGTTGCTTTTAGATGGTGCCATTGAAATGTATCACTTTTTTTTTTTCTGTTGTCATCTTCATTTTGACACTTAGAAGTCTTAAGGAAACGTTTAGTGATATTCTAGTTAAAATGTCAGTCCCAATTTCTTTTCTAAATCTTGGCTATTACAGAGCTGGCAAAGTATTTTAGATTTGAAATATGTTAATAAAACTTTAGTTGTGAGTTAAGGTATTTTCTTCAACAGAAATAGCTAGCTTTGGCTAGCGTGCAGTGCCAAGGAGTAGCTCCTTTATTTTCTGATAATGGAAGTTTATTGGATTAGTAAAAGTATGAAATGAGCTCAAAAGGCCTTCATTGTAGTAAGGTTTTCATTATAATGGCCTAATGGGTATGGTTGACTCTCATTATTTTAAGTTAATAAATTATTGCTTGAAGGAAACTTAAAAATTAAAGTTGATATGACAGAGTTTGGAACTGAATAAATCAAAATTTCATATTGATGGTAATAAGCTAGGAGTTGTCTTATGAAAACCCTTTCCCAGGCTTAGTTTTATTAACGAGCTATTCCAAAAATTAACCAAAGTTCCTTCTCTTTGATTTCCCTTGCATTGATTCTGTGATTCGTGTTCGTTTGTTTGTTTTATACATTCTCTGGTGTCTCTGGCTACCCTTGTTGACAGGGAGAAACCACAGGATATGGAGACTGGAGCGTGTGGCTTGGTTCTGTTTTGAGGAGTCAGTGGCTTGCTGAGCCCATGTATGCCAAGGCTGGTATCTTACAGTACGGGGCGTTCTAAAACCAGGCTGCACCTGTAGCTGTCAGGAGAAAAGCTTATGTTTAGGTTCTGATACAAGCGTGTACAGGTTGACCAACATGCTGTGAAGGGCTCATCATCCATAACTGGGTGCTGCTTCACTGAAAATTGGCAGTGCCTTCCTGTAAGCACGAATCGATCACTTACATAATTTTTGAATTACAATAAATCTGAGGTAATAGAACTGTGTGGTTTTATCTAAATCTCCAGGAGTAAAATTGATTAGTAGTTAAGCAGATTGAATAAAAAAGAAAGTGAATATATTTTAAGTATTTGCAAAGGATCTAGTACCCAGAGAGCTCATGTTAAGACAATCAACCTCAATTATCAGTTCCTTTAATACTCTAATAAATTTCAATACCAACTATACAGGTTTGCTGTCCAGAATCATTTTCTTCTCATACCTTCTAAAAGAAAAGCAATTAATGTTTGCTTCATTTGAAGTTTTCAAAAAAGTTTTTAGATCCTTAATTTCAAATTATTTCTTACCTTTAATAAAGATGGTAATAACAATATCAAACAAAAAAAACTTTATTAACCGTACAAAATCTGCTTACTGAAAAACCCACAGAATTAAAAGACCTTTCTCTTCTTTATTTAATGAGATAAATTCTTTATAGGCAGAAACTTTTTACAAATGTTTGTTTCTTTGCAGATACTTTAATTTGTTAATAGTTCTCAAGCTGGGAAAGGAATGTAGCTCAGTAAAATTTGTGGAAAACAGTTGTTTTAACTTCAAATTATCACGTGTACATGAAAACCATGGGAATTCATGTGAGAAAGAAAAAGAGGGAGTTCAGTGAACAGGGCTTGCTCTGGGGATCAGAATGAACGAGGCCTGTTTCTACCAGTCCTGGCACACCAGATAGAGCAAGCAGTAAGCAAGAAAGAGCAAAGGAATAGGATTTTGCCATTAGTTGGTTAAGTTGGGTATTGGCATTTTATTAAATCTGGGCAATATCTTGTAGCCCTTTGGTGATAGAGTTAACATGGTTGCTGGTCTTTGCTTAAGGGAAAGCTTAATAAAGATAAAATTAGTTCAAGCACTTTTCTTAAACTTCCGTGAAAACTGAGCTGTATATTTGATGTTGTATAATTTATCACTTATAAAAATGGAGCTTGAGAGAAATTTAGGGCTTAGAGGCTATTCTGAGAATATCTGAAATAATTCTAAGGAGTTGAACTTAATGCATAGTTTTAAATTTATCAAATTGCAATCTTTTGAAAGGAAAATTGATTAGTCTGTTTTGAAGTTTCACTGAAAATAACTTAGTAGTTTAACTAGCATTAGTACTAACACACTCTTATATTTTAAGGAACCCAGTGACAATGGACCTCTTTTTACTGAATTAAAGTTTTACCAGCGAGCTGCTAAACCAGAGCAAAGTAAGCAATATAATATATATGTTCACATTTAAAACACTGCTTTTCATTTTGTTTTGCTTGTATAGGCCAAGGGTAGAGCATTCCATCTTATGGCTCCTTGTTATTTTTTTTTCCTTTATAAAAAAAATGTAAATTTGGGATTGGAGGGATGGTTCACTTGGTAGAGCACTAGCCAAGCAAAAGTGTCAGGTACGGAATTTGAGTCCCATTCTTGCACCAAAAAACTCCCAAACAGTTAAATTTGTTTAAATGACATTTCTGTGAGGTCATCTTGATGTCTTAATAGTTTTTTTCAATTATATTTCACTTATATTGATATAAAGAGTGACATATGACTTAGAAAATATTGTTCTGTATTGAAAGTAGCCTTAGTCCTTGAGTTTGATAGCTGCTCTCATCCTCTGTAGCTTCCAACTGAGCTCCTCAGATATTTCCTTTCTTTTCCCTCTTAAGAACTCCAGACCTATGTTAGAGTGGGAGAAAAGCTTCCTTCCATCTTCCCTACATTTTGATGCTGATTGAAGAGAAGATATACAAATTATAGAGGAAATCCTCAACTTGTAGAGTAAAAATAAGTCTTCCTATGGAAGCAAATAAATATTTGCATAGAGAAAGAAAATTACTGTACCTAGTAGTATGGTTTT